TTTCCGGTGACATTTGAAGAGGCTCACATCCACGTCTCAAATGGCTTTTTCTCAACAGTAAGATGTTGAAAAATCCAGAGCAGATTCTTCCGCGATTGCAAACAAGAAGATGAGTCTCGAATGAGGAGCGGTTTTGATTTCTTGATTGTTTAGCTAATGAGCGGTTTCGTCAACAGCTAGCCCTCCGCTATCTATGTGGTCCGTTGTTCTGTCGGCTAGTCGCCGCCTCAAGAGCAGCCAGCTCAGAAGGACTATAAAAGAGATCTTCGTTTAATCACGGGGCAGGCAAATCGTTTTCGCTCTTTTTCCAAGCTCATTTGAAACGATATTCCGCAGAGAAAACTGATTCAATCAAGAGCAATGTTCTTCACAGCTTCTTCACCGCTATATTGATCGCAGATAATGCATTCAAAATACATTCCTTGAGATTCCGTTGTATTTAGATGATATCCTATTTGTTATTCATCGGTTCGCTGTGCGTTGCTTTCTCTGTTGCGCAAGACTGGGGAGGAATGGGTGGTTATGGCGGAGACGGTGGCATGGGAGGAGGTGGAGGTGGATGGGGATACGGTAGGTATCGCATGTTTCTAACCTTTGATAATTTTTCTGACTGAAAATCTTCAACTTGCTACCTTGATATAAATTGTTACCTATTTCATACTTCTGTAAATTCAGGTGGCGGAGGAGGCGACATGGGCGGGTATGGAAACGGCGGAGGCGATATGGGAGGCTACGGTAAGTTTTTCAGTTTATCGTAAAAGTAACAAGGCACTTTTTTGAATGCTTGTTTTCGTGCTTTTTGATAGAAAAGTTTTTCAGGTGGTTACGGTGGAGGAGACATGGGTGGTGGTTATGGCGGTGGTGGAGACATGAATGGTGGTTATGGTGGTGGCTATGGTGGTACGTTCAACTCTTTTCTCATAAATTTTGTTATGAATTGAGACGTGATTTTCGTTCTTGGCATCGACCGGAGCACGTCAGAATAATAATTCAGGAGGCACTTTTATCCACATTTAATTGAAAGTTTCTCTATTTGGCTACGTGCGCAATTTCCTAAAACAGCGTCTCCTCCCGTAATCGGATGTTTTGTGGCTTATTATAGCTTGAAATCGAAAAGGATCTCAAAAAGCAGAGCTCAAATGTTTTTTGTGTTTTTGAACTACTTTTTATAA